GAAATGGAATGGAATTAAAAAGAATAGAATAGAAGTATGGACTAGACTAGAATAGACCAGAATAGAAGTATGGAATAAAATATAATAGAATAGAATAGAAGAGACTAGACTAGACTAGACTAGACTAGACTAGACTAGACTAGACTAGACTAGACTAGAGTAGACTAGAGTAGACTAGACTAGAATGAAATGAAATGAAATGGAATAGAATTAAAAAGAATAGAAGTATGGACTAGACTAGAATAGAATAGAAGTATGGAATAGAATAGAATAGATTAGAATAGAAGTATGGAATAGACTAGACTAGAATAAATAATTGAATAGAATTGAGTAGAATAATAAGCACATATAACACATTACACGTTCATACTAGGAACGTGCATAGATTGTCTGCCATCTTTTTCTAGACGTCTACTAGCGTTGTCCCGATTTCTTCACAAAACGATGTAAAGACGCTTCTAGAAAACCTGATTGCGTCCTTCGTCTTTGGTGCATCTTTATTTTCTTAGTATTAGTGTGTCAAGTTCTTCTTCTGAACTGAAGCTAAATCGTCAACTGAAGCTAAATCGTCCAGTCTTTCGAGGCAGACCATCGATACCAGCAACCGAACTAGCAGACGACATATTGGAAATCACACGATCAGGTGACGAGTGACGTCATCCCTGGGCACTAGTGGATGTACTAGTATCCCTAGGGAACTAGTAATTTCCCGGGCGCTACTATGGTAATTTAGCCGATAACCGTGATCCTGTTTTGACCAATTACAGTAGAGTATTAACGAGTGATGTGTTATAAACTAAAATAGATAATTGATACATGTAGAATAAATAAGATACAATTATTGTTTTATTTCTAAATCTATTGATGTGTTTACCATTGCAGGTTTTGACACACATATGTGTATGGGTTTATGTAAACATCCATTAGATGGCTACTTACACAAGACAGTCCATGCCACACTCCAAGCTCACCTCAACCAGCTGGGAGTTCGCACCGATGGTGAAGAGATTCCAAACCCATGCTGCATACCAGACCAAATGTCTCCCATCACTGTGATAATACTGGAAAGACCCGATATGTTCACAACTTTTAATTTTCCAGACATGGTGGTAGAGTCATGTGCTTGCCACTAATTGCGTGTATCATACACTTTAAATGTTTTTCTTCTAATTCTAGTAATGGTCAACATTTTGAGAAAATCACAGTGACTACCCAGAACCTCAGTGAAGGTTACAGTGACTCCCTAGGGCCCTAGAGAAAGCCACAATGTCTT